GTTTAGGTAAATGGATGACAGAGCAGGGATAGAAAGGGCATGAACATTGCTTAGAGCTACAAACAATAGGAAATTGTGGAGAGCCATGATTGCACATGCCCTGAAGGGACATTTCACCTAAAAGAAGAAGAAAAAAAATTGTTTCTTTTATAATTTATGCAAACACACTGGTTTTAATGGTTAATGAAATAGCATATTACTACATGTGCCAGTTGTTGATGCTTAGAGAAAATCCAGCATTTTGAAGGCTGTTTTTTCCATATTTGTAAAAATTAGCCCAACAAAAACATCTCTCCTCCATTTAATCTTAAATTAATAAATATCTTTAAGCTGACAACCTAAATTGGTTATATTCACTGGGCATATAGGATTTAAACAAGTCTAGTTTGAAACAGTTGTTGGGATGAATGAGATAGTGTTTGTAATAATGGATTCTTCCAATAGGAGATAGATAAAAACACCTCAAGTGAGCAGCCAGAGCATAAGAGATAATAAAATGTTTGGTTAACTTAACCTAGTTTTGCCAAAACTCAATATAACCACTTTTGTTTGTTAGTTCTTTCTATACAGCATCCTTAACAAAATCATTTTCTAATCAAATTTAATAGCAGTGAGTTATTAATATATCATCTATGTGTATTTTACACACATGCCTATGCCAATACCCTTACTTTCTCTTTCATAATCTGAGGCTTTATGACTACTTTATATCCATACTTGAACCCATTGAAATAGTATATTTCCACATACTTGAGAAAAATTCTATATACTCAGTCCAACAAGATCTCATGTCGGATATCACATTTGGGGATTTGTTATCTTTGCTATTCTTCTTCTTCTCCTATGTGCCATGCCTCTTCAGGACGTTCATGATAATGACTCCCCACAATTTCCTGTCCTTTGTGGCTCTTAGTAAATTTTATCTTTTTACTACCTCTTTAAAACCTTGTTCTGCCATCCATTTACTTAAGCTCGTTAGGTAGGTTATAGGCTGCTTTCCTCTTTCCCTGTTGCTTTCAATATGCTCTGTGTTCTCCAAGCTCTCTTTCCTCGTGTGCCCTAGAAATGTCAACTGTTTCTTTCTGATGTTAAGTATGAGTATCCTTTTTATTTCCATTTGTCAGTAATTTGTCAGTTTTTGTAGACTTGCTTACTATGTTTAAATATCATTAATGATGTTCATTTCAAGGAAAACCATATTAAGTAAAAACAAAATTAAAAAATGAAAACAAATATACCCATGAACATATAATTTCACTCACACATGCATGCTAACTTTTATTGAGAGTAAAAATGATATGGTCTATATTTGTTGGTCTGTACGAGTGAAAACGGAAAGTTATTCGTAAAGTGCTTATTGACTGCAATGAGGGGCATATATTAAACCTTTACAAACCGACAACCTTGGTGGCTAGTAAGCACAGTTTGTATGTTATCATTGACAAGTTGGCATTTATTGGAGAAGTACCCCCATATAGATTGGCAGGACAGATTTGGGAGACATCCAGTTGCATTACAGACTGCATATAGGGAAGGAAAACACTTTTTTGCTGATGTTGTCATTCATTTCAAGTAGAAATTTGGTTTTCCGGAGTGTTTTAGACTTTCTTCAGTTTCTTTGGAAACTTGCCTCTCGTTTTTATTGATGTGTGCATATATGTTTATATTAGGTACCTTCACGAAATCGCTAAAGAAAGAGCATAGCATGATGAAAAAGATGCCAAACTTGACAAAAACAAAATTTTATCATCTAAATGCTTATGTTACTAGTAAGAGGAGAGATCAAAGTATTTTGGGGGTATTTTTTTTACATATTGAAATATTTTGTGTGCATATATACAATATAACCTTTCTCATGATTTCAAGTTTTCATGTTAACAGTAACATTAACATACATAATATTAGTCTTGAAAATTTAGAACAAACAATACCCAAGATAAATTTGTGAGCAATGTAAAAAACTTTAAAACCTCTCTAGTTTTAGGAGTCTTTACAGCGCCCAGACAATTTCTGTGGTCACATCACCCCTTACATCTGGTCACCTAACTCCCCAGACTGCAACCCTCTTGATTATTATGTGTGGGGCGCAGTTGAGTGAGAAACCAACAAAACTCCTAGTAAAACCAATGATGAACTGAAAGCAAGGATTATGGCAACATTCACCAACTTAAACAAGGAGACTTTCCAGAACAGTTGCAGGAGATTCCAAAGTCGCCTGGAGGCCGTAGTTGAAGCCAATGGCAATTTTATTGAATAAATTTACTCTTTAGTATTTCAAGATATTATTGTGTAATTTTTGGTAAATATATCTGTTAAAATGATATGTCAGTGTTATTTTCATTTTTGTGTAATTTACACAACAATTTATCCATCATACTCTGTATATGCACACACTGATGATAAATTGAATTGCAACACCTGAAGATGTACGAGGGTACAATATGTGCATGTTAAGATTCTGATAAATTTTTCAAAATCTTTTGTCATCTCATAGTAGTGCATCATCTTTTTCTGAGTTTTTAAATGCTACTACATGCTGCAATTAGGTTCAACATAGCGAAAAAGTCCAGTGTAAGCAGGTGTCATCTTCTATGTGTCATGTCGCTCACCAGAATTCACTGTCCTTTATAGATCTTAGTAAAGTTTGTCTTTTTATCTCACTTAAATTCTCTTCTGCCATCCATTTACACAAGCTCGCCAGTTAGGTTACGCACTATTTCCTTTGTCCCTCTTGCCTTCTTTCCTCATTATGTGCCTTAGAAATTTCAACTATCTCTTTTGTTTCCATTTTCTCTAAAACTTTGACATTGCTCAAAAGTTCAGTCCATAGTATTCTCAGCATCCTTCTGTAAAACCAGCTGGTCAAGCATTAACTGGCATATAGATGAAATAACAGTTCCATACTCTTTTCTTGATTTCTAATAAATATATATATATATATATACACACACACATAAAATTTAAGTTATGCTTGCAAAATTAACCTATAAAACATTTTTAATATTAATCATTGCCTCAAAGAATCAATAAATTTTAAGTCACTTATGAATTGTTTTCTTTTTTTAACATATATTTGGAAAAATATAAATGTTTCAATCAAAATAATTTAATACAATACAAGCATAAATATTAACACTATGAAAAGAAAAATATTTATTTATTTGCTAAAATGTGCAACCTTCTTGTCAGACTTCTAGGAAATATAAAAGTTAGTTTGATGGTAATACCTTCACCTCTACATATCAAAGAAGGGTTACTGAAATGTTCTTGGCAAGACCAACTTCTGAAATCTGATCAAATGAACAAACATTAAAATGTTTGAGGAATCCCTTTTTGATTTCACCAAATACTTTATAAATGTATACTTATTTATTTAATGCTATAAAGAAAAAAAAGGAGAAAATGTTTATTTATATACACACACACACACACACACACACACACACATAAATATATATAAATAAAATGTATGAGAGAAAAAGAGAAATATACCCATCTTTGTTACACCTTCCTGGTCTTAAATATAAAAATTGAATTGAAATAGTTGTGTAATTTAATTTTTTATGTAGTAAGAAGGAGCAGAAGAAAAGTTTTAAATTTTTGAAAAGGAATGTTTTTGAAACCAGTTAAAACAATTTGATTCAACTGTTGCAATTTAAAAGATGTGAAGACAAATTGCAAAGAATTCTGTTGAGTCTGACAGATGCTAATGCTATGGTGTAAGAAAGATTACAAATAAAGCTTTCTATAAAACTAGATAAAAAAAAAGATAAAAGCATTCCTTTAATCATAGGAAATTAATGTATGGGGAAGATTTAAAAAAAAAATTATCATTGAAAAGAAAATCCTAAAATAGAATCAATAAAATAATTTTTTTAAAATACGCACAATTGTTTTTATAAGTGCAAAGAACATTTAAATAAAAAGGTTTTAGAACTTTGAAGCATACCACTTAATTTCCAAAAGATGTTTTTGAAAAGAAATCTGAAAAATCTACAGCTTTTGATGTTTGTATGTGTTTATGTGTGACGAAAAATAGCAAATGATCTGTCTGTTAAGTTCTTTTTATTTCATCTTTACTCAGAAAAAATTGAATATTATTTCAGTAATAAATAAATTATATTCACATAAGATAGAGTAAAAAATAATAATAATCACCAAAGAAAAGAGTAATGAAGAAATAATGTGTTGGAGCTGTAATCATATATAAAATTCACATAAAGAACTATAAAAACTCAAAGGAATAAAAATAGAAAATTGATTTTATGGGAAATAAACAAAAAATAATTAAAATTAAAAAAAAAAATTAATGATTAAAATATAATAAAGGAATTGTATAAAAATAAAAAAGATAAAGATATTAACAAAAAATAAATTAATAACAGAAAAATTGAAGTTGGCAATGATAGTTTTTGTTGTAGCAGAAGAAATGGATTTGGAAATGATTAAAGATATATATAATGCAAAGCACCAGTTAAAAAAAAAGCTGATCCTTTTATTTGGAAAAAAAGTGAAAATTAAAATGAGCAATTGAATGTAAAATCCTCAGAAATAGAGAAAGGAAAATAAATTTCTTCAAAAAAAATACAATGGAAATAAAATACGCAATTTGATATTCAAATAAACACACACATACAAATAATTTTTAGTGAAATAAAAAAAAATTAAAACAAAATTAAAATTCTGTCATTTTAAAAAATGGTAATCTGAAGCTGAAAAAATAGCAAACAATTAAGAAAGAATAATGATTTAAAAAATAAATATTTCAATTAATAAATAATTAAAAGAAAATACAAATGGTAGAATAAGAAAAAAGGAATTAAATTATTTTTTTTTCTATCCTGTTAATTTTTGCAGCTTTGAATTCAGTTTGAAAAGTGAATAAATGAAATGTGCATATATTACGAAATAGCATGTTTGTGTGTCTGTCATGTTTCATTATTCTGAGTCTAAATTGTCAATGTCTGTGAAGTGGCATCTTTGGTACAATTTTAATTTAGAAAAATCCAAAAAGCCTGTGACCAATACAATAGTTTTTCTCTCTCTCTCTCTCTCTCTCTCTTCTTAAATATTTACTTTTATATTTTTTTTCTTTTACCTTTCCCTCTGTCTCTATATCATACTCTATTGATCTCAAATCTACAATACCCTCGGCAACTGGCCAGTCTTTTACTTGATCTACTTATATTATTCTCCTTTCTGTTTCTTTATGTAACTGTTGATTTTATTAAGACTTTCCTTTTTTTTTTTTATTTTGTGTCATTGCTCTGCTTTCTACTTTATCATTTCTCCCCCCACCCTTTCTCTATTTTTGTTTAACTGTATCTGTCTCCCATTTTCTCTCTGTTCTCTCATATAAGATTTGATTTATCTTTCCATTAATCTTTTTCATTTCCTCTTCTTTCTTTCAGTATAATTTCCAGATTTTCTCTCATCCTTTCATCTAATATTTATCTCTCAATTATTTTACATTTCACTTTCTTCTTTCTTTCTTGCTCTTTATTTCTCTCTTCTTTCTTGCTCTTTCTCTGTAAGTTTTCCTTTTTCTCTCTTTGTTCATCTCTCACTTTCCTTTTTTCTCCTTTGACACACCTATTCTGTCTACATTTCTCTCTTTCTCTATTCCTTACATCTTAAGCCTTGTCAACCTATGTCTTCCTTGCCAATCTACTTTCTTTAAAAACACCTTTTGTATGCATTTGGAGTTTAGAATATCATTATTATGTAAATTATTTCTCTGCCCAATTCCACTTTTATCTTTTACTTTTTTTTAAAAGGCTTTAACTCCTCCCATTTCTGACTTCCATTTCTCACTCTCTTCCATTCACTACTTTTCTTTCACATTTGCTCTTCCATTGCATTTCACCTCTGTTAATAAAATGAATTTCCTTCCTATTTAATATATTTGTTGCTGTTATTTTTTCCTTAATTTTCTCTACTTTTCCTTTGAATTTTTTGTATTTAAAAAAATTATTTGTACTACTGTTTATTTTTTTCATTATTTTCCCCCTTTATTTACTGTTTGCCACTTGTTGTTTCTTTGTCATTTTCATTGTTGTCATCACTGCACTCTGGCTCCCTTTCTCCATGTACAGATGTACAACTTGTATTGTTTGCCAATATCAGAGTTCCATTTCATATGTTTGCTGTAGACATGACAAGAAGTTTATATTTATGAAGATGCCATAAGGAAGATGGGCAATACAAGGAGGTTGGGTGGGTGGGGGGTAGAATTTGTATTTGCTGAGAGCTAAATTTCATTATTGTTATATACCTGTCATCCTCTTCTTGCAAGTTCATATCAACAAATAAATATATGTATCTTGTTTTTATCTGTTTCTTCTATTCTGTGTCTTTTGCCGGTTCTTTCACCCCCACCACCTCCCTGTTATTGTTGTTGTTGTTATTAGTAAAAGATATTTGTAGATGAAACATGATTATGTTCGTATGAGATTGGGAAGAGGAAAACAAATATGTAAGAATTAGAAGAAGAAGAAGAAACACACACAGCATAATAAGATTTCATTTTGTTCTTAACCAGAACATAATTGAATTTTCTTCAGTGTTGATAATTCTTTTATTTTTATTTTATAATAACACACACACACACACACACATATATATATATATATAAGTTCATATTTAAACCTATGCACATATGTGAGAACACACACACACACACACACACAGGCAATTTTAAAACCTTTACATATGCATAAAAGCTATGCACAGGCATAATCTTGTGTCAAGATATGCATACAAGTTTCTCAAGAGAAATATATATTGTATTTGTCTATCTTTGCATGTAAATGCATTCATATAAAAACTCTTTATCATACTCTTTTCAAAGGTCATACATGAATAAATCCTTGTGTGTATTATTGGAATGGATTGTGGTCGATCCCAGCATACAGCACCATTGGAAAGTGCCTGAAAACTATACCCTGGGTTGACCCAAACCTTGTGATTGAAATTTGGGTAGACTGAATTAAGGGTCATCGATAGCTGTGCTAGCACAAAACCACAAGTCATCATAGCTGAGAGCTTGAGCATGCTGCCCTTGTTCAAATTGTTCATCACGTTAGATAACATGCTCTCTCCCAGAAACTGTAACTAAGGTCTGCTCAGCATAGTTGCAGTGTAAACCACAAGTGCAACAAGGATTTGAAGCTGCCCTAGTAGACAGGTATCCTCAGATATGAGTGGCTAGCTATTATATATATATATATATATATATATATATATAAGTGGTGACTCTAGGTTATCAATGTTTGTCGGGCTCATTACAATCTTTAACTAAATATACTATTCGTATAACTTAGATGCTAAAATGATTCCTTTACTCTAACTAAAATATATTTTTAAAAATCTCTGTGCATTTGACACATTTTGGTATTTAATATTAACTATAATACTATAAAAATAAACATTCATTTAAAAAAATTTTCTAGACATGTAAGGAAAAAGATTGAAGACAAAGTCTGTGATATGTTTGTCTGT